GTAGCAGTGATCGGGGTCGACAGATGGCGATGGCTAGCTAGCAATGGCGATAATGGGCAGTGGCTGATAATATCGACAAAAATTCATGGTGTATTTAAAAATCGCTCTAATCTAAAGAATTTCAAATACACTAAATTTATATTAAAATTTGTTTTTCAAATAAATCAAAAATTTAATCTATATTTCTTTTACTTCAAATCAAATACTAATATTTTAAATATTTTGAATGTTTTACACCTATTCACTTCAAATCAATTAACCCTAAAATTGAAAGGGCAATCATCTACAGTTTTTAGAATTATTTTATAAATTAATCATAATTAATTATAATACTTTTTTAACATAAAATTCCCTCAAATATCTTGAATGAAATATTTTTCCCATTGTTCTCAGCCATGATATATCACCGGCATCTAACGGTGGTTGGACCTTCGGCGTTTTCCCCGAGAAACGCACACAGAACCGAGAATTTTTTTTTAGGAATTAACAGAGAAAATTTCAAAATATAGAAAAAAGAAAAAGAATGACTAATGTGATGTGGCAAGCATTGATGCTAATTTTGACGAATGGTATTCCAGGAGAAATAACTCGTGCATTTCAAGGGAAAAGTTCACATAGAAATTAGGCCTTAATTTTTTTTATTATTAACGATTAAGATTTATATTACTAAATGCCAAAACCTGACTAAGATAAAACAAATCGATGAAGTAAGTATATTTTCATCGACTATTCGTTCAAAAAACAATTCATCACAAGGCATCTTCAGCTGCAAGTTTTAAGGAATAATTGAACCTATCAAACAAAACGTTAAAAATTAAGCAAACAAAAGTAAAATACAACATTTATGCAGTGCTAATCTCGAAACACTGAACAAGATCTGATGGATTGATTCAAATCTCTAATAATTCAAGTTTGGAAGGATAGTATTGATATATCATTAAAAAATTATATCATGAATCTCGGAGCAAACTAAAGTTTGGAAATTTCAAAAATTAAATCTGGCGCCTTGTGAACTCTGATTTAAGCAAATTTATAATCAAACTGAACGTCTCGGAAATGCGAACCCAATGACACCAAATTCGGGCCAATCCGAGCGCAAATGGGCCCAAATCGAAGGCCTGAAGCTCATTTGGAAGGTTCAAACCATAATTTGGATTATTAAATGGCTTCCAATCAGGACATGCTTATAGTCGAATCGAGTGGCTCGACAAGAAGAATCCAATCAGCCAAAGATCATCAAATTCAAAAATCATTGAGACATTCAAATTCCCAATAAATGGTCCAAGATCAAGGAGATCAACATCGGTCGTCCATTCAAACCACTCTAAATTTACTCTTGATCTTCCTCCTATTTCCTGGTCATGCCACTCTCAGAAATTATAAATAGACCCCTCATTCTTTATTGAGGGAGGACAGAAGGAAGGAGGGAAAGAAGAGAGGAGAGAAAGTGAAATCAGAGTTTTCTCTTGCCATCAAGCTCCTCCTCGAGCACCTCTTGCCATCAACCGGATTTTCGCCCGTCACCGGATTTTCGCCCGTTGTTGGATTTCTACTAGACTTCAAAATTTCACTGATCAACGGACTTTTGCCCGTCGCCGCACTTTTGTCGGACTTCTACCCAAAGCCAAACTTCTACCCGTAACCGGATTTCTAACCGACACAGACTTCGGCATGTCACCATACTTTCTTCGGACTTCTGCATGTCACTGGACTTTTTTCGGACTGTTAACCAATGCCAAACTTCCGCCCATTGCTGGACTTTCGATCTCCGTCAGTAGTTGACTATGATCCTTCCTATCTCATTCACCAGACAACAGTCTTTCTTACTATTGTTGCCCGCTAACTACGGTCCTTCAGATATCCGTCGCTAGATAACGGTCTTTCTAGCCATTGTCACCCACCGACTACGGTCCTTCCGACCTTCATAGCCAGATTGCGGTCCTTCCAACCTCTATCGCCAGACAACGATCTTTTCTTACTACTGTTGCTCGCCGACTATGGTACCTACGACCACCGTCACCAGACTACGATCTTTTCAATCTCCATCGCCTGCCGATTATAGTTCTATAGACAAAACAAACATATCAATAATGATTCTTTCAAGTCTCATCAATGTAATGCACTTTATATGATGTATATTTATTATCAAGCCAGTGCCTTCCCCAAGAAAGGGCATCATTTGTAATTGACTGCAAATAATAGTGGATTTATTGAAATTGGGTTAGACCCTATGGTTTTTCTGTTTTTTTTTTTGCGATTTTTTTACGTAAAAAATCTTAGTGTCTCTTATAAATGTTGTATAATATATTTTTATTTGCATATGTGCTGAATCTTCGTACAAAGCTCATACATGAAACTATATATTTCTGTACCGCAGCAAATATTCCATGACACAACAAGTTTATTGAAATTGTTTATTCAAATATTGTTTCTTTCACTCATCTGCTTAAAACCTATCAAACATTACATATTTTTAAATATTTATATGATACTTATAATTTATTAAATGATTCATGTTATGATTATTTGATAAGTTTTATGTTAGTTGTCGAATATCTAATGCAACCCTCCACTTTTCTCATCCAAAGCTTGAGTAGATCTAAAGTCGAATACGTGGAGCAAAATTTTCACAGTAGTAGATCTAGGGGAAATTGTGACTTTGGACGATCAAGTCATTAATAAAAGTACTCGTTTTAGATATCTTAAGCTTATTATTCAAAGTGATGCTAAAATAGATGGGATATTATCAGTAGAATTCAAATTGGATGGTTGAAGTGGAGGAATGCATAGGGCCTATTGTGTGATAGAAAAACACCCCTCAAACTTAAAAAAAAAAAATTCTATAAGATGGTGACGAGACATGCAATGCTTTATGGCTAAGAATCATAGCCATTAAAAGAAAAACATAAAATTAAGGCAAATGTTATAGATATGAAAATGCTCACGTGGATGAGTGACTTCACTCTTAGAGATAGAATGTGAAATGAGTGAGTAGATGGCTTGGACACATAACATGTCAACCTTTTGATGACCCGATTAAGAGAATAGATGTATTGTATTCGAACCATATTGATAAAGATTAAGGTAGGCCTAAAAAAACTTGGCTAGAAATATTAAAAATGATTTTTTTTAATTAATTATATTTAAAATAAAAATTTGATTCTTAACTGAGAAAAAATGATTCATAGGTCAGGTCTACACCTAATTTTATGTTTCCCCTGCGAGATTGGCTATACTTTCGCTGAACTTGCTAGTCTCTTTGCCGAATAATTTATCGTGAGAACTTAAAGAATAATAAAAATTATCCTATATCTCCAAGATCTACCATGATAAGTGGAAGTCGCTTTAAAAATATATATATTTGTGGTTAAAAAGCCCATAAAATCTCAGGGGTAATCCTGAGCTATTACAAGGAGTCTTCGTCAATAGTTGAGGAAACCTTCAAGAAAACATAAAAAACTCATAGCAAGAGGCTAATTAGCATCTCCAACAGAGAAAATAGGAGCAACCAAGAGATCAAGGGCTCCTTTTTCACTCACATCGATAATCCCAACAACTAAATTATCGACCTGATTATCCCCACTGAATACATCTAGAGCTAACATCCTTATGGATATTAAAAATGGTGAACACCTAATGTGTTCAAAGAAACAACAACAACAACAATAACAAATAAAGCCTCTATCACACTGCATTGGGTCAGCTACATTAATCTTTTTTCTCCATCGTGTCCTATTAAGAGTTAAATTCTCATTTAAATTTAAAAATAATGTCATTTCTAATACTTTCTAATCAAATATTTCAAGGTATACATCAACCTTGATTAACATAAGCCAAATCTAATGCATCTACTCACCTAGCCGGGTCATCAAAAGGCTATCGTCTTATATGCCCAAACCATCTAAGGCGCTCTTTCTAATCTTATCTGCCAATGTGTGAACTCCAATCTTTTCACATATATACTCGTTTCACATTCTATCTCTAAGTGTAAAGCCACTCATCCACCTGAGCATCCTCATCTTTACAATACTTAAATTTTTGCTTCTCTTTTAATGGGCAACATTCTATGCCATAAAGCATTGCAGATCTCTCCATATCTTATAGAAAAATTTTCCTTAAGTTTGAGAGATACTTTTCTATCACACAACAGGCCCAATGCATTCCTCCACTTCAACCAACCAACTTGTATTCTACTGTTTACATCCTCATTTATTTTCACCATCGCTTTGAACAACAGACCAAAGATATCCAAAACATATACTCTTTTTAATGACTTTATCGCCCTAAGTCACAACCGCTCACTAGATCTTTTACTACTAAAACTACATTCCTTGTATTCAATTTTAGATCTACTCAAATAAAACCTTTATATTCTAAGATTGACCACCATAATTCAAGTTTTTCCTTCAACTCTCTCTCTAATCTTACCAACAAGAAGAATATCATCAACAAAAAGCATACAATAGGGTATATCGTCTTGCAAATCTCTACTAAGAATATCCATACTAAAGCAAAAAGATATGGGCTTAAAACTGATCTTGATGTAATCCAACGGAAATAGAAAAATACTTGGTCAAAGCCACTAAGATTCTAAGATTGACCTCCATCATTCAAGATGATATTTGACAAAAAAACTGTCTTAATCTGAAGAAAAAGATTGAGCATTTGATTCAACGAGGCTTCATAGTCTACTTCCTGTAAGACAATCTTAGGCCTCCAATCTCACAAGAAAATCATAAAATCCAAAGCAAATAAGTCTTCGAGACCATGGAGACTATCATAACAGGACCACCACAGCCTTTCCCTTCTCTTGCTCAAAAAGAGGCATAGAGGATAATAAAATTGCTTTTACAACTCCAACTTTGATAGGATATACCACCCACATTAAGTTTCTCTTATCATTTCTGCTGGACTTTAGGCTCCTTTCACAAATGCTATAAAGATTCTAATCAACATAGAGTCTATGAATATATAGCCGAAAGTTTGCATATGTTGCACAGTAAATGAGTCAAAAGTTTGCATATTATGTAAATGTTGTACAATTGGAATGTTGTCTGTGATTAAAGAATGATGTCAGAGCATAATGCATGTATCCTCGCAAAAGGCACACAATAGCATACCTTGGAGATAATATTTGCAACAAAATTCAAAACACTGGATGAACGCATAAAGCCTTCTTTGGAGCAGCATATCTTACTTGACAATGTCTTCAAACTAGTTCAAGAAGATAGCAAATGATATAATTGATCATTTCGAACAAATGAAATGCTCTCTATCATAATGCACACTTACTACTATGACCATGTGAAATAAGTAAGCTATCCATTTGGACAGCTCTTAAACTTGTATGACTCAATATCCTCTTTGACCAGACCACTTTTCTTCATTTGTTCCCGTAAATTCAAGATTGAACTAGTGTCATTCTGCTTAAGGTAGCCTCTAGCCAGGATTTCATAAACAACCACATCAGGAGCTATTCCACATCGCACCATATCATCAAAGACCTCTCTTGCTTCTATCATAAGTCCTTTGCAGGCCAGGCCCCAGATAAGAGTACTGTATGTAAGCAGGTCAGACTCTGCTCCTTTCAGATGCATTGTTTTGTGCAGTTTGAAAGCTTCGAAAACATCGCCATCTTTGCAAAATCGGGCAATCAGTGATGTGTAGCTGTACTTGTCTGGAACCAAACCAACCACTTCCATCTCTAAAAATGCCTTCTCAGCCTCACTTCTATCTCCTTTCTTGCACAGCCCATCAATGAGAATTGAGTAAGAAACCTCGTTGAATTCTCTAGCTTTCAAAAAATGCTCTTTTGCTTGCTCTAAAAGCCCATGCTTGCAGAGGCCATCCAATAGTGCTGCAACGGTAAACACATCGGGCTGTAACTTTCTCGCTAACATCTCTCCATACAAATTCAAAGCCTTCTTCAAATTCCTGGTCTTGAAACAAGCATCCATCAGAGCAGTCATTATAATATTATCTGGAAAAAGGCCGCTATCTTCCATCTCCTTTCTCATCTCAATCGCTTCATCCAACCTGCCACAACTACAAAGTCCCGATATAGCAACTCCATAACCCTTCATATCAAGCTTCAATCCAGTGACTCGCATTCTACTCAAATATCTCATTGCAGCTCCTGAATCACCTTTCTTGAAGTGCCCATCCATCATTGAAGTATAAATCACAGCATTTGCTTCAATCCCTTCCTTGTGCACCTTTCCAAAAACCTGCGCTGCTCTCTCCATCATTCCTTTTTTACAGAGCCCATCAATCAGAGCAGTACAAGTAACAACATTTGGAAACTGTGCCAGTTCCAGCATTCCGTCGAATAGCTTGAGTGCAGAATCCAAACAACCATTCTTGCAGTATCCGTCAATCAAACACGTAAAGATAACGACGTTTGGAGAAATTTCAGAAATTGTCATGTCATCCAGTGCAGATTGGGCAGAATCCAGATTGCCCAGCTTGCAGAACATGTCGATAAGGATCCCATACGTGACCACGTTGGTTAAACGGGACTTCCACATCAACCCCAAATATCCAAGCGCAAATCTTGGCATCCTATGCTTGAACACGGAGCCCATCATGGTGTTGTACGTGATGGCATCAGGCCGTGGGCCGAAGGACCGGAGGCTGAGCACTAAGAGAGACGCCCGGAAGAGATTTCCATCACGGCAGTGGCCGTCGATGAGGGAGTTGAGAGTGACGAGGTCGGGAGAACAACCGAGAGCGGGCAGGGAGGCGACGAAACGTTCGGCAGCGTGGGGCTGGCTGAGGCGGCATAGAAATGCGACGACGGAGTTGACGGAAGGAAGTTGAGGGCGGATACCATGGGCGATGAAAACTGGGAGGAGCTTTAGAGCGAGGACTCCGATGCCGGACCCAACGAGGCGGATGAGTTGGAGGTTGCAAGCTGCCGCGTTGGGAGGCTTGGTGGAGCTCAGAGCTGCGGCGAAAAACTCTAAGATTTCTGTCGCCATTGGACTTGAGGAGGAGGCAAGAAGGCATCTTCTTCACTGTCTTCCGTCTATGTTTTGGAGATTCGGAGGAAGAATGGACCTGCAAGACGGAGGTCTTTGCTTATAGTGAAGGGGTTTTCTGGGTTTTTGGTGGTTGCCGCCAGTTCTAAGATGAGAATAGGCGAATCAGACGGCCGAGACATCCCTTGAATGGTTAACGGTTCTCCAAAGCAACGCCTATTATAGTTTTAATTATAGGTTTGATTGTGAACTTTTTTTCCCCTTTCTAGTATATAGCCAAATTTCTTCATTGTAACTTGGTACTTTAATTTAGGGTTTTGAATAGAAACCTAGGGCTGTCAATATTTGACTCGACACGAAAACCCGATATGGAAAATCCGGGTTGGACCTGACCCGTTTGAAAAACGGGTCAGGTTCGGGTTCGCATATTCGACCCGTTTGAAATACGGGTCGGGTTCGGGTTCGCATATTAGATCCGTTTTCAAATGGGTCGCGTGCCGCGCTGCCGCCGTGCTGAACCTGCTTGTCGCGCCTGCCGTGCCGAACCCGCCGTACCGAACCCGCTGTCGTCACGCTCCCGCTGCCGAACCCATGTGCAGCGCCTGCTGCCAAACCCGCGTGCCGGCCGGGTCGGGTTCGGGTTGAAATGTCCGACCCGTTTGCAAAAACGGGTCGGGTTTGGGTTGACCCGTTTAAATCCGGGTCAACTCGGGTTCGACCGGAACCCGACCCGTCGACCTGAATTGACACCCTATAGAAACCCTTTGAATTTTTTTTTTTAAGTTTTTATGAATTTTCATCAATTCTTTTATGACATAATGTGTAAAAAAGTAAGATGAAGTTACTTTCATGTAATCTATTATTATGTCTATATATGTGATGGATTTTGGTACAATGATTTTTTTTTTAAGGAAAGGAAGCATGACAGTGTGATCTATCAAAATAGGTGAGCATAATGTTGTACTTTTCAAACACAATTTAGTTGATATTATTAATTGTGATTTTATATTTCATTGCACATTTATGCACATATTGTAAAGAAGCAAGCCGTTGTATTAAAAGTATGCACTGTGTTCTAATCATAATGTATGTGCAATACATGGCTATATACTTGTCATATGATTGTAAATAAACAATGATATTAAATTACATGTATTAGCATTTATGTTTACTGAGAATCATATTTTTATATTACAAGAACATAATTGTGCACTTAAATCAAACAAAATATAGTTGTCATAACACCTATGTACTTATGTTTTAATGAGAAATATTTAACAATGTTACAAAAGAACATGTATATGCTTTTGTTTAATATCTATTTGATATGCTCTAATGGGTTGGATTTATCTCTCAATTGGTTTTGAGGAATGAAAAATATAGGGAGAAAACAAAACATAACGATCCAATGAGAAATTGACCCATTTGGAGGAGACCTCAAGATGAATACGAGGACAACGATTATGATTCACTATCCTCCCATCTTTTGGAGTACATTAATGATTATAATGATGTTTATAATCTAACAAACACACAAATATTTTGAGAGCAAGGGGACAAAGGCACTAGTTTCATCGTAAGCACTCATCTATGATGGCTTTAGAATGTGTGTCAACAAATAGGGCATCAAAGAAGGAACATCTTTGGGAGAGCTAGTGGCAATTTGGTAAGAATTCGAAAAAATGGGTTGTGAAATATGGTTCATGTAATGTGATAGATAGGTAGATGGACTTGATACACCCATCAACAAATTTAATATGACTCGTGGAACAAGCTATAAACTGAGAGTATATATATAGACATGAGGAGGTGTACATATTAGATAGAGGAACATGTTGACTTGAAGAGTATGCTCTCTCTCCTTATGAACATTCATGCTTTAAAATGAAGGGTTCTTACCTTTAGTTAGTGTTAGTAAGACACCTTAAATGAAGCCAATTATGAGGGAAGTTGCATTGAAGGATCCAATTATGTCACGCCTTATAATTTAAACTAGAGCTATCTAATTTCTTTCAATAATAAAATACCATTGGAAATAAATCTATTGATCAAAACATCAATACACATTTATTTCCATTTATGCTAAAATCAAATACAATAGCCAAATCATACAAATACAACATATTGTTTATCCACCACAAAAGAAGAAGTAAAGAAATAAAATAATAGTCAACTTTGAAGAATCATATATATGACTAATCTCACTCTCAATCATCTTTCCTGATATGAAATCATTAAATCACATATAATGAGCTTAAAAATCCAAACAGGTCATCAAAATCTTATCACTGAACTCAAACCATGAAAAGAAAATAATATGCATTGAATCATTCGATTTATAACAATAGCGAGCAATATGATCATGAATCAATACATAAATAGTAAAACATAGGCTATAACTATAAAATTAGTAAAATAGTATAGTATGTATGTCGAAGCGGTAAAACAATAAACAGTCATTCTTAAATCATACATCGTAACAATATTATACAAATATTAAGGAAATCATATAAATTATCATCTTACTTTATTACACCAGTATTTGTATTATCATCTTAGGTTACATGTTCAATAATAAGAATCATGTGCTAAGAAATAGAAAATCAGTATAGTAAAAGTAAATGCGTATAATTAAAATAATTAGTGCAATACATCATTATCTTATATGTGCCTAGACGGGTAAGGAGTTCATGCTTATGTGGTATTTTTCTAGTAATTAATATATCAGTAAGCATTGTCTCAGCAAATATAGTCATCACTCCTACCTATCGACACATTAATTAATTGTTTATAACTCATAATCAATAAATCAATAGAGGATAACATCACAAACTATATTATTTAAAATAATGTTCGTCGATCCACCATCCTATACATGTATAAAACATTATCTAGCCAACATCAGTGAATAACCACCCTTTACTTTTTCTCACATACTCTATTATCACAATATTGTAAACATAATAACAACCAGGTATTACTCAGTCGCAAGTCCATATTTATTTTTCATGCTTGCATTAACAATATGGTTATATTAAAATACCAAAATTATTATTCCTATTCAAATAATACAAAATGCAATAATTTTTATTTCAACCTATGAAAATACGAAACCAACTAGTCAAAATAACTAAAATAATTGATACAAAGTTATACCTAAAGTTATGCAATGAAAATTCACTAAATAAAAAAAAAATGATTTGGGAGAAATCAAACAGTAAAAATTAAAATCTTCAAAAATAGAAATAGGATAGAAGTCATCGAGAATGATCTAAGGAATTAAAATGAACTAGCACCAAAAATCCTAATTTCTCTTCCCTCTCTCCTCCCCTCGCCTTCTTTGGTTCCGTTATGGGCAAGCCGTGCAAGTGAGTGAGGGAGAGTGGACCGAGTAGAGTATATATATATATAAACTCATTCAAGTGCGTGATGCCGCGGCGCCCACGTGACCTAACGTTGCTGCGCCCGAAAGCACTTCATCACTGTGCTACATGGAACTTTTTGGAAATTCATATTATTCAAAATTAGGGCTTTCTGGGGAAGAAAATCATGTAGGGAATACAAAACAAGGATAAAACACAATGAAAATAAAGAACAACAAAATAAATGTTTAAAAATTCAAAATTGAGAAAAAAATCACCACCACAAAGAAATTCACTATGAGAATTGAGAGAAAACTATATATATATATATATATATATATATATACTCTTTTTTTTTTCTCTTCACCCTTATGTCGTTCTATTACATGAATGAACAAACAAAAAAAAACTCACTAAAACCACCAAGTGACACAACCTTTCATAAAAAATCAAGAAAAGAACTACCAAGCCCACCTCGCAACGTCGCAGAGCCAAATTTGGAGCGTTGTAATGCTACACTCTTTGTCTCCAATTTTCCTAACAGTGACGTAGCACCGGGGTCTGGAGCACCGTAGCACTCTCTAATAGCACCACAACACCAAACTTTAGAGTGTCGCAATGCTCTGCTCTCTGTTTGCTTCTGAGCAAACTATACATTGCCGTATTGCTAAAGTACAACGATGTACGATTGTACAAAATTGAGATCCAAAACAACAGTACAACTCAGTTGATCAACACAATAAACACACGGAACAATTATTTTTAAATCAATAAAAGCTGGGCTAGAACATTCCAAAAGAAAGAACATTCTTTTGCCAGTCAATAATACTAATACTTTACAAGCAAGCTGATTGAATAAATAAAATTTAGGCCCCCTACATTAATAATTAATCAAAATTTCAATTAAACTTTGGTAGATAATTTAGCTAAAAATCAACTTGAATTTTCAACCCTATAAATCTTTCTAATATATATATATATATTCACATTTAAAACTGGCCGAAAACAAAACGCATCTAAAATGATCCCTACAAACATCTTAAATGCATTATCCTTTGACAAATGTCAGAAAACTTCGGAATCCATTACCATCAATGAGAAAATCCTGCTTCATTCCTCTTTTGGCTCAGCAAATCAAGAGATTATTTTATGCGGATATTGGAAGGAGAAAATCGTTCGGTTGTCTTTACGAACAGTAAAAGCTCAATAAACTAAGTAAAAGCTCAGTTCACTGCATTTTTATTGTTCACAGTGACAAATCGGACGATTCTCTCCGTTCGGTATCCGCACAGAATAATTTCTCCAGCAAATCACAGATAAAGCCAACATTTTGCCCAAAAAAAAAGCGTACCTTCATACAAGACTAAAATTAACAAAATTCATAGAGCACAATAGAGTGTACAAAGCAAAAAATGACAACGCAACTACATAAATTTCAATAGCAGACATAAAACAATAGCATTCACAAAATGATTCAATTGCTTAATAGCAGAAGCCTGTGATGTGCTTCCAGCAGGACCACTTGCAGGAGAAACGCCAGGTAAGCTGAAAGTTCCCGGAAATGAAGTCTTTGGTGTAGGCATGGCACCGCCCGGTTGCGATGGAATGGGAGATGGCGATGGAGCCAAGAACGAGTAAGGGCTCACAAAAGTTGGTGGAGGAACCACAGAAGGAAATTGTAGTGGCCCTGAATCAGTAAAAATAGACATGAAAATTAAGTCGATTGGGTTGGGGTACATATAATCTGTATTGTGAAAAAGTGACAGTAATAAACCTGGGCAGCGAGGTTGAAGAGAAGTAGATAACCTGCAAAGTAACTAAATGACTCAATTATTGTTCCTTGGCAAGTTGAAAGCAGCATTTAATATGTATAAATATATTCAATTGAAGAGAAGCTCACGTTGTGAGGATTGTTCCATTTACAAAACCACCATAAGAGCAGGAAGTGACGTTGCATCCAGCACTAGTGGCTTGAGCAGTAACATTTCCCAGTATTAGGTTGCTTCCTCTACATTGCATGCTTGAACAAGATACTGCCAGAGAAGCTGGGGTGCAGTATAAGCTACAAGGATAGAGATAGTCAGAAAAGTTTGTATTGATAAAACCAAACAAGATTTCAGAAGAGTAATATAATAGTTAACTTGAGGTTTCCTGGTCCACAGCTGCACTGGACACAATGACTGGCAGTTATAGCGTAGCTACCATTTGCTACTGTCAAGCCATGATCGGATGCATATCTTGGGAAACTAGATGCACAGGCTATAGCAGAAAAGAATCAGAATTAAGACAACCAGAGAGAAGTTCATAAACAATAGCGTTAAAAATGCAAGTTAAAGTACATATATCAGCCAATGTTTAAAATTGTGTATTCGGGTATTGAGGCGTTTTTCATTCATGAGGCGAGGCGTAAGCCTCAAGACGTTTTGAGGTGTAAGCCTCAAAATCAAAAGATTGCGTAAATATAAAATGATAAATTTTTTATATACTAATGAGTGAATAATATAAAACATAAAAAAACATAAGATATGAAGTGAAATCAAAATATCTCAATAATAAGACAACATGAAATATAGTTCAACTCAAAATTCTATCTTTCCCAAATCCCAGTATTCTTTTCATTAACATATAATTCCAATTTCCAAAAATAAATAGCAATAACATATCACATAAGAATTCATAAGTCATCAGCACTGTCATCACTAAGGGGTTCTTCATTTGAATCATCATTATGGTGAACTGCTCTCTGCCCTTCCTCCTCTCCTATAGAGTCCAATGTTGGGCATTTACTTCAAGATTTATGTAAGTTTTAGTATACATAGCGTGAGGCGAGGCGGGCCTCAACCAAGTTGAGGCGCAAGCCTCATAAAAAAACTCGAGGCGTAAGCATTGAGGCGTTTTTTACAGGAATTGCGCAAAGGCGGACCTCAAGGCGAGCCTCATATTGCGCAATTTTAAACCATGATATCAGCTATAATGAATACAAAAAGCAAATTAACTAACAACTTAGAAAAAAAATTATCTGTATTTCGATCAGGTCATTAAAATTAAGAACCTGCTAATTCCAAAGTAGGGGTAGGATATACAATAAAAAGTACAAAAAACACCCAGCTATGACTGTAAATGAAAACTTCAATGAAGTTCTATTTGACTTGCAAGAATTGTTACATCAATGAAAATGTTCCGTCTCTATGGAAATAAGATAAAATATTATGAAAGCAGATAAAAGGGTGGACAGATAGATACAAACGATAAAGCTTCAGTGGCTTATGCAAGTAGAATTCCCTTGGCTCTCATCTCTTCATTTGATTGTGCTTACTTGATGCATCTGTTTCATCCTCGAGAATTATATATGAAGCTCATCATAAAGCCAGAATTAGGAGGCAATACATCTTTCTTCTAGCAGCAATGGCAATAAATCATCATCACTAGGACAAGTTCACTTGGGTTTACTAAGTCAATCCTTCAATTCAAACTGCACATACAATCTTAAGCAATCCTAATACATGATAAATCTAGTGGTACACAAATTATTCATATTGCTTATTTTAAGTGCAACAAAAAAAAAATCATATAATCTTTGATTCCCCTCATAAAATTATGACTTCTGCAAGAATCTAATAAACTACCAAATCCTAATTATAAAAAACATTTAAAAAGTTGAGTATGATGAGATCCTTTCTGGTGATGATTTAAACACAAGAAAAAACAAAAAACTAACATCCTACATGATCTAGCATATATTCTTACAATGAATATGCACTAAAATAAATTAGAGTTTGAATATAAAATATAAACTAAAACTAAATGAACTTGTTTTCATATATATTAGCCATTAGATGCTTTGTAGTCGCTGTATTTCCTGGGCATGCTTTATATAATCTTGCTGCATTAAGTGCTGATCATTTGCCATGTTTTTAAAAGATTTTTTTTTAACACATAATGAAATGTGGGTTGCATGCAAGTTCATTATAAAATTTGAAAATATTTCATTAAGTGCTATGATTTAGCTCATATGTTGCTGGCACATGATCAACAATCCATGTATTTCTCTGTATCCCTACAATATATTTACATTGCAATCACTAGAAAGGAAGGATCTAATATTTTGGTGCATGATTTATCTTTAAACATTATTGTTAGTTCATCTTTAAATGATGCAACTTTTTTATTGAATTGAGGCACCTAAAGCCTCTAGTACTAGTTGTTTAGGTAGAGTTTATTTATGTTTCTACTAAGCTTGTACTAGTAGCCACAATAAATATCATAGATATTTTGAAAAGGAGATATGGTCGTTCTTCAAAAAATTCTACAATTCTTTCAATGGAATGCACTGTGATCCTTCAGCGATCTTGAGGGATTTCACCACTCTTATTCTTAAAACAAATGTTTTTTTTTAAAACATGAATATAATGTAGTAACATAACATCTGATCAAAATCCCTTTAATTTACTGCTAATTTAGCTTAGACATGCCAATCTCTAATAGGTCAATCACATTGAGTCAAACTAGGAAACAAGAGAGCTATATCAAAACGATTTTTATATTTTTCTAATCCATTCATCATTTATAGCCAAATTTGAATTATCTAGTTTATTTTTTGAAAATAATATGAACATAATAAGGAAAATGATAAGGATGCCTCCATTCTTCAAAGGATTTTATTTCCTTTATATATAGACCTTTGTGTGGAATTTCATTATCAATATTAATTATTGATATCGGAATGAACGCAAGGAAAAAAAATTTACTACAACCTTAGTTCATCCTAATTTTTTAGTATTGAGGATTCAAAAACTTGATGTATTGAGGATCTGGAACCTATAGTTTTCGATTCAATATTTTGACTTTATTGAGAAATTTTGTAATCAACAATATTAGTTTTCACTAGTCCACTGCATACCCAACATCACATTTCTACTTAATGTAGTTGTGATTCAAGTACTAGCAGAATGAAGGATGGCATGAGAGTTTCCAATCAAAACCATAGTGTAATAAAATGAATTTGGTATCCTGCAGGAAAACAAACACCCATATCATCTATATTTTCTTCATTATATAATAAAAGAAGCGCCACATTTACAATTACTATTCAATCAACTCAAACATAGTTCATATGGAAAGCTACAGTTCACGATCACACACCAATAACACTAACAATGGTATCCTACAAACCTAAGAGGTTGTTTGTCACACATAGCCCAATGCTAGTAAAGCAAGGCCATCGGGATATCATAGATACGGCATAAGAGGTGAACTAGAAAATCCACCATAATAGGATGCTAACACACAACCTATGATGCACCGACACTTCTCCTCAAAGAGGCGTGCAGTGTCCGACATGACACTCGTCCGACACGTGTCGGACACACCGAAAACGTGTCGGACACACCGAAAACGTGTCCGATTAAAAAATATTAAATGCAAATTGGACACGCATGTTGGACACGCGTATCTTAAATATTTAATGAATTTTTTAAAATATAATTTCTTGTATTTTGTGGGATTTAAACTAGATTTCTTATTTTCTATCCACAACATCAAATCAACGTCCGCACTTAATGCCCAATCATCGAATATTCTCATTTTAATTTCTTTTTGGCAGTGAAGGTATTTTTATCTCCACTCTCGGTGACTGATAAATGACATCGACGCCTGAAATATTAATTGTTGTTTTTTGAAATTTACCAAAAAAGCTAATGTACATACTCGGTACCGCTCTATACATGCTTGGTACCGCTAGGTACAAGCTCGGTACTGTTAGGTACATGCTCGGTACCGCTCAGTACATGCTCGTTACCGCTAGGTACATGCTCGGTACCGCTCGATATCTTTCCATACAAATAACTTATGAACTTTAAAAACAAGCAAAACTTCAAAATTACTCTTACCCTGGCAAGTCGAACCCCACTAGGGGAGAGCCCCATTGGACCCCGAAAGACCGATATATTGTTGTATTCATGTTGTCTCATTATTGAGATATTTTGATTTCACTTCATATCAATTATAATTTCTATGTTGAAGGATAGTAGTTCAAATAGAGAATATCCATTATGATTTATGAGGAATATAATCTTCGTCTTCTATCAAGGAAAATCTCACTTTATATGACATGAGATAATAAGATGTGGGATGTTATTGGAGATGAGTTCGAGTGCCTTGATGATATGAGATTATTGGAGGTTGCAAATCTTTCTCTAGATGAACCAAAGTTTGAAGCAATGATATTCAATGATGATGATGTTGCTGGTCAAAAATCAACATCTGAACATAATTCTATCATTCCCTCTATTGAGTAGTTGGACCTTCATGTTGTACTAAATAATTTTTTACTTATATTTTTGTGGTTGTACTGATATTTTATACTAAACATTTTTATGTTATAAGCTAAACAAGTTATCATGAAATTGATTTATTATTCCTTGTCATTTTTAATATAATGCAGTCTTAATTTCTATATATTATATTAAAAAATTATTATGTCGTGTCCACGTTGCACCCGTGTCCTATATTTTTAAAAAATGTCGTGTCCCGTGTCTGTGTCGTGTCGTGTCCGTGTCGACGTGTCCGTGCCGGTGCATCTTAGCACACAACGAACCCCTAATGCATATCCTCTAGAAGTAAATTTTAATCAAAAAATGATTTAATAAACTGAAAGTAATCAGAAATCTTTTCATAACTTCTTTAAAACTTTTGTGATGACAAATACCAAGTTAAAAAATAAATATATTTGCATAAATCATTTTATTTTACATTAATCAAGAACAAAAGAAACATATGGGACCATACAAGAAACATTAGAACCGGTGAATATCTCAATTCAAATTTGGGATAAAACGAAGCCGATAGGTTAGTTTGCGAAACTTGGGAAAGTAAATGTCATATAAGTATGGTTCTAAAATCATTTTGCCAAGAGAAGTAATTCAGCAACTCAACAATTCGTACACATTCTCCATAGATGAGAAAACAATCCCCTATTCTAGCCAAATAAAAAAATTCATTAAAGGGGTAAATTAAATTTTAATATACTTGAGCTACCACACTGTTATATGCTACCACTCTATAACGCGTTAAAAGAACAAATAAGTAAACCATCCTAACTGCTTTTGGAGAAAAATACTGCAATACCAAGACGAAAATTCTTAAAAAGGATCACAAAATGACGAATATCAAGCAGGAATCATCAGAAAAAAAAGGTCATCCTATAAATAAAAAAGCAAGAAAAAACCTGATAGCTGCAGCTTGCAGTAATAAGCATAAGAAAATAAAACTCTTTAATGTCCACTCTATGCAACAAACCAATCATCATTACCTGGCAATGGAATTGCAAGTATATCACCAGCCCTGACCACCGGACTCCCCATCGCATTCACGTTCATAATATCGGTAACCGTGGTGGAGTACCTTGCAGCAATGCCGGGGACGGTATCCCCAACCAACACAACGTAAGACAAGTAGATCGCAGGAAGGAAGTTATCACTGGAGTTGAAGCAGGTGCAAGGGAGAGGGATAACAAGTATCTGGCCGACCTCAAGCACAGAGGGGTCGGTGATGGAGTTAGCTTCACGGATCTGGTCGGCGGAGGCAAGACCCGCATAAACGGTGTCCGCAATAGAGGAAAGAGTGTCGGAGGGGCGGGTCCTGTAGCGAGTGGAAACGGACTTACGGATGCCGTCGGTGCAGGAGCAGATGGTGGGGATTTTGGTGAAGAGGCCGGCGGGAAGGATGTGATTCTCAACGTCGGGGATGGAAATGTCGATGGCATTGGCGTTCAGAAGCGCAACTGGGTCGACCTGGAAGAGAGCGGCGACTTCAGAAACCTTAAGCTCGGTGTAGAGTGTGTAGCCCACCAAGGCGTTGCAGGAGTCGGAGACGGAGCACGGCTCAATGGTCGATTTAGAGGGAACGAGAAGAGGGAGGGAGAGAAGATAGAAGAGAAGGGTGGGAATAAGTAACGCCATTAATGTAGGGAATAAGGAATGCAATGGGTTAGGGTTTAGGTAGGGGACGCAAAGCCGCAAAGGGGGCTGCTTTGCTCGCTGGCTCCCACTTTCTCTAACTTCTTCTGTGTGCAGATTCTCTACATCGAGCTTTGTGCGCGGCCAAAGGAGGTCGGAGCAGAATATAGCTGGCAAGGCCCCCAACGGTCGGAAAGTGAAAGGGACGATGGAAGAGTGAAGCAGGGAACTACGAACAGGGAAGCGTTATAGTATTAGTAAAGAAAAAGAACAAAAAAAATTTGCCACTAGCGGACGTTGATTCGGTATTGCTGAATATTTTTTTTTAGTACTCGATATTGCTCGGTATTATTCGATATTGATCTTTTCAGAGTGGTATTTCTCGTTATTATCAAACAATACATAGCAATACCGAGTAAAAATCGAGTAACAATCCTCTGACCCAACGTCAGAGGACGTAATAAAAGTTTCGTTGGTTCAGCAGTGGCTATTCGATAGGGAAAATTATTAGGTTCGGATATTCAATTAAATTTTGATACTTGGATTGCGTTTTGATTGTACTTTTTGAATGTGTCTTTACTACACTTTGACTGTTCTTTGACTATGCTTTTTGACTGCCCTTTCACTGTGTTTTGACTGCGCTTTACCTGCACTTTTGGCACGCTTGGCTTAAAATTTCGCAGACACGTGTACATTATACATGTCAATATTTTATTGGAGACCGAATCTATTTCTAGGTTCGGTGTCTGGACCTAATAATTTTCCGTTCGATGGCGAGCACCAATGCGAAATGGAAAAAGATAAAAAATTCAGTCGAACTTACCCACCAAATTTGGGTAAATTTTTAAAATAATTATCCTTAAGAATTTAATTAACTATTAAACTAACAAAATAAATAAATTTAGAACTAGGCAAAGTCGCTAATTCATTGGGAGACTTTGCCTAGTTCTAATTTTTTTATTTTATTGATTTAATAGTTAAATAAATTCTTAATGATATTTATTTTAAAAATTTACCCACCAAATTTTCATGAAAAAATAAATAAATAGATAATGTAACGTTATTATTATTAATTTTCACTAATTATTACTAAATTTATAAAATATTTATTTTAAAAATAGACTTCTGATATATGAATATATATAATAAATCGTTAAATATCTAAAAATATGAATAAGATTTAGTAAATCATGTAAATCCAATTTAATAAATTTGAGAAAATTTGAAATCTAAAAAAGCTCTATATAACAACAATTAATTTTGTTGAATATAAAAAAAACATATTTGACTATTTATTTAAGGATTTAAATTTTATTGAGAGAAATAAATACTGAAGTTCATTAAATCTTATGAAAGGTGAAATTTAACAAATCTTAAATTTAATAAACAATGGTGGTAAAATATGATTTGTTAAAATGATATGATTCAAATCTCCTAAAATACTATTTGGTAGGATTTAAGCTAAGTAGTTTTTTATATTGACATCCAAAATAACATAACAAACATGCTAGCAAGAAAACTTCAATGCTTAACCTTAAAAAAAAATAATGTATCTAGTTGTATGATAATAAATGAAGGAAATATAAAATGAGGTCCATTCCGACTTAGGCTTCATTTGAGACGATTTTCTTATTGCTTCTTAAAATATTGCTCTTTAATTTTTGTACCAGAACATTGTTTTAAGAATCAATAAAAAAGCCGTCCCAAACGAAGCTTTAAATTGCATTAAAAAAAATTTATTCAATTGAAGAAGGGTAATTCAAAAATACTTCTTTTTATAAAATAGTAAATAAGTTTGTTATATGTTATGCTTTGCATTTTAAATGGACATTGATCTACTTAGTAAATGAATAATCAACACAACATAATAAAAGTTAATTGTCAATAATCATGAATTGCATCATCTAAAGAGACATCATACATCTGAGGGAAGAGCTTGCTAAATGGAGCAAGTTTAAGCCCGCCTTTAGCTTGTAAAATGTTTTGCTTCCTATCATGTGTATATTATTGTTCAAAACTCATAGACTTAGGCAATGAATATAGAACAATGATGTTATCACAATCAACATATCCTCCCTATTAAGGAACTTGTCATTGTCATTACAAGCATGAAGTTTATGAGTGTGGTCATATGAATATATTTGATATGAAACTGGTTTTTTATGAACTTTCGTCGAACTTAAAATTTTCATCCTTCATAAATTGATGTCGATGATGGATCCATGGATACTTTAAGCATGTAGCAGCTAGTTAATACTAGAGCTTTTTAACTTTATATTTAAAAAAAAATTTAAAGGCCTAGATTTGAATAAACTTTCATTGATTTAGAATGATCATTCCCATCATTGTTAAAAAAATAGGAAGCGTATTTTTCTTGAAATTTAAAGGGCTTTTTTTACAATGATTGCCCTCTCTGATTATGATTGGTCATAAATATATCCCTTACTCCTTGGCCTATTGGTTGAGAGCTTAGGCTTCCAACTAAGAGGTCCAAAGTTCGAGTCCATGTGTATGCGTTGTGTGTGTGAGTTTGCCTTAAATGGCCTAAATGTCCAAAAAAAAAAAAAAGAAAGTTTCAAAGTATCTGCCTTTATGTTTGGGAGCTAAACTTTGCTAGCGAACCTCTCTGATTATGATATTATAATAATTGAACCCATCATTGAGATGGATATGACATGGTTTTTTGGATTCATAATGAGGTGGCATACATTGTCATGTCCAAAATCTAATTTAGACTAATTTTTTCCAGTATATTTTATTATAATTTTATCTATCAGTAATAAATAGCAGAAATAAATTCTATAATTTAAAACATCAGTGTACATCTATATTCAATTGACCAAAAAATAAATCATATACAACACTCATGAATCATATAATCATAATATATCATTTTATTCATGAGTACAAAAGAATAACTAAAAAAAAAGGAAACAGAGTCTGAGGAATCATGATTAGTCTCACACTAAAACCATTTAAATCACATATAATGAGCTAAAATATCCAGTAGGTCACTAAAATCCTATAACTGAATTCAAAACACAACAATGAAGCAGTATGCATGTCGTCAATCAATTCATAATAGTAACAATTTTATGATCAATAATCAATATAGAAATAGTAAAATACACATACAGTAGAAGTAGAATTTGTAAATAATAAAACAATACATTGGGGAAACCAATAAATCAATATGCGTGTTGAATATATAAAACAGTCATCGTAACAATACGATCAATCAGTAAAACAATCGTATAAAATAGTAAAACCAAAGCATTGATAAAGATTGTCGAAATCATATCCATGCAGTAAAACCTTTTAAAAATGTACACATGTTATCCAATTATTCTATACAAATATCAACTTAGTATCTTAATCACATGCTTAGTACATCATGCGCTTAGTATGTCACATAGTCAATGTTAATATAGTGAGTCGATAGTGGCAACAGTAACAGTTCAGTAATAATATCAGTGTTTATATCTATACCAATAAATTCAGTGGTCATAGCAATAAAATAATGCAATAATAGTAAATCCATATATTGACAATAAATCAATACAATATCAGAAAATATGTACAATAACAATGAATCTGTAATATGCATTTGAGTAGTCACACTAAACAAGTACGAAGTTCTAGTTATCATAATCTTTTTTTAGTAATTAGTAATCGGCATCGGTAATCATTAGCTTAGTATACATAGTTGTCACTCTTTGTCCATCGGCACATTAATAACTTCTTATAATTCACAATCATTGTATCAGTGGAGGATAACACTCAATTATAAGATTTAAATGAAAGTCCGTCAGCCCACCATCCTATATAGATCAATCAATCTTGAATAAACGTGTCAACCACTCTTTACTTGTATTTTACACACATTATTATCACAATATTATAATAGTAATAGTGATCAACTATTACTCAATCGCATATTCAATTTCATTTCCAAAGCATTGCAGTAAATAAAATATAATTGGGCATAATTCAGAAAATGTCAAAATGTTTTAACGGTGGGCAACAAAAAATCCTATTGAGAGAAAATTAATATTTTTCAGAAATGAATCAAATAACCAGAGATCGTGTATAACAATATTCTGAAGCTTTAATCGAGCTAAAACACTATTTTAGGTATCAAAATAAATTTTTTAATTTATAAAATTCATTGCTTTTTTGAAATCATCTGACAAAAATATTAAATAAATATTCGAAACGTTTATAATCTTAATCTCTACATTATATAAAAAAGTTATGAGGTGAAAGTTTTATTAATAGAAAATTATCCTCAATTTTTTATATCGAAAATGCAAATTTGACAAAACAATTAAAAAAAAATCAAAATATTGAAATAAAAAATAGGATAGTAGTTTCTTACAATGAAACAAACAAATCTACCAACATGATCGACTAACAAAAATTGCTCTACAGCCTCCAAATCATAAACTCTCTTTTCTCTCTCCTCTATTTTTCTCTTATCTTCCCTAACTCTTATGTTAGCCGATTTTAGGAATTATGATCAAGTGGCTTATTTATAAAGAAATAATAATTATATAATTTAATCTATTTTTAGTAAAAAATTCAAATATTTTTTTCTTTAAAAATTATAATAAAATATTCATAAAATAGTTTTTTTTTTTATAAAATCAATTTACAAAACAAACACCTAACGATTCCAAAATCTCCACTTATATTGACATGTGTCAATTTCTTAAGGATTTATACTAATATCTAAAAATTTTAAAAAATATTAATGTAATTAAATCACTATAATGCCTATGTTATGATGAAGACAATTTATGATTTATACTTATAATAACTCCTTAAAAAAATTTATTTAACCATGTCAAAATGCAGACTATTACCTATATGACATACTTTACTAAGTACCTCTTTAGTTATAAATATAATAACAATGCTCATTATCATAGAGAATGCTCTAAGCGTTTCACTTCTATTATAATGAGTTTTTTTTTTTTTTTTTTTTTTTTCGTTTTTTTTTTCTTATCGTGAATCTCTCTTATGATGATAACTTGACCCATTCCTAAGGTTATGCCCTGTTATGGTGACAGTATATTTCTTGAACTTTTGATAAATCTTATAGTTTGCATTATTAAGACTTGTTAAACTAGAGATGCTTTGAACACCAACTCAAAAGCTTATACCGTTTGCTCCTTTGCCCATCGAGAAAAAAAATCGAGACATCATAGTTCTTCATGACTACTTGGAACACAAAGATGATAGAAATTTGGACACCAATGTTGACAGATGTATCTACTTGGTTTGGCAAATGAAGGTTTTGAATATTCATTAAAGATATTGATATTGCTAGTTATTAATCAAACCAACATTTCTGTCCTGCACAAAAGAAAATTATTCTCAGTAGCTTTTGAAGTTCTACCTTGTTCAAACAATTTATACAGTTTTCTCATTACATAGAGGCCAAACTCAACAAAATATGAATGCATTGGCTACAACAATCATGAAAATTCTGAATAGCAATCGAAGCATTCAGCACAAACATACCCTTATTGCAGATAAAAGAATATACAATCATATCAGTGTACATAGGAAAGCAGAACGTTACAGTGTAGCTGAAGCACCAGCTCGACAGTAGCAGAAACCTCACAACTGTAAAACACAAATTGAACCACCAAATACTGGATGCACATTCAGAATCATCACATAAATATGTGGGGCAATTAAAGCGGAATGAACAGAACGCAAGAGTCCTCGACATCCCACCAACTTCCAGTTCAGTAAGAGAAAATAGATATAACCGATAGTGTGGTCAATGTTAATATAAATGCAGAGGATGAGTCCCGGTAAATTTTCCCTACGTTTATGAAATCCTAAAAATACATGCTTTATCTTATTCTTCAACTTACATCAAATGTTGATGAGCCCCTGCTTCTCCGGCGTCGTCTCCTACGTCGCCTATCGGATCTCAACATGCCCATATCTCGACCTCGGTTAAAAACTGTAGCTGCACTGCTATCATCTCCTCCTGAGGAATAAATGGCAGAAGCAGCAGGAATATTGGTGCCACCTAGTAAGTCATGGTCATAAGCACTGTCATCTTCCATTCCTTCATGAGCATCTTGATCCCTCTGAAACCTCATAAGCCGTGCACCTTCGCGCAAGAAAAAATAAAGGATGCTTCTGCTGATACCGCGGTTTCCTCGGAATTCTACATCACCAGTCTCGTCCTCGCTGTCGGCATCACTGTTGGTCATCTCTATGACATAATCTCCAAACACCACGGATCTGGGCATCGACGATGTTATCGTGCTGATGACATCCTGCCGCTCCCTCTCATGTTCAAGCACTCTCCATTTCTGCTCCATCTCAGGGTCCACCTCACGAGGCTTGACACAAGGGTGGTCAGACCTCACATGTTTTTTGAGTTCCTTGTAGCTCCCTACATAAGAGCAACTATCTTGCATGCAGTTCCTCATCTTATTATTTAGATATTTCCTTGCTGGTTCCACCACCGTCCAGCCCTTCACTTGCCCACGACAAAGAGGGCACGCAAGCTCCAATGCCTCAGACTTGCCGCTTGAGGACCAGGCAGGAACGATCAACCCAGAGTTGTTTGCGTTGTCCTCGACTTGGTCAAGTTGAGTAGACCTCACTTTTGTGTAAGCCTTCTTGAACTGATCAAGGCAGTTAGAGTGGCGGTAACTAGTTCCACACATATAAGGACGACACCCTTTCTCATGGGAAGAACACAGCAGAAGAACAGCATTGTGCGGGAATTCCATGCACACCGAGCATGTGGCTTCTTCCCAGTCCTTCCTCTCTAATGCCAATTTTTGTTTCAAGTTACCTGGTTCTGCAGTTACCCAACTGTATGATTGGGGAATCGGATAAGGAGTGGACCTAAACTGGCGAGAAGAAATCCTGCGCCGGCTCCTGGCACTTTTTGCCATGTTGCAAGCGAATTCTGCAAAATTTAGATAGCCAGATCATTAATCATTACCAACCAAAATGGAAATTCGTTTAGTCGTATAAGAGTGCAGGGAGGGGAATCAATAGAATTTACTCCATTGGCATAAAATTCCAGAGTAAAGTCCGTAGTGACAACTTATTTAAATTAACTTGATATGTGTCTTTCACACGCACGTGCGCGCGCGCATATATATATATATATATATATATATATATATTAGTCCAAATTTTTATTCGAATATGATTCGAACTTTGTTCAAGAAAGTTTTGAATCACATTTGAATAAGGATTGAACCATGCTTCTAACCTAATCGAGGAAGGTTTGAGAAATATTTTGGTAAGATTTTATCAAACTTCGAGCAGGGCTTTGAATTGGGATCGAACAAGATTAAAAAAAATGGAGGTTTAAGTAGGAATCTGTTAACCTCTATATGTGCCATACAATCAATTTGAGCACATGCAATGAGGATGACTAATTAATGCGACATCGCACGAAACAAGTCCAAAGACACCTCGACATTTTGTAAAACTACTCAAAATGTCATTCCTGCATTGACTCTATTTAAACACCAAAATTATCAAAGAAATACCCTTCGCACTCAACTCGTTCGAATGATGGTGAAAATGATTGTTTCTAGGCACGACGTTGTGCAAAAACGTCAAATATCATCCACTCATGAAATCGATCATGTCATTACATTTGGGACGCCATAATTACCAAGAAATGACCTCGCATTTGGTTCAAGAAGATGCGTCCAAAAATGACGGTCAATGGACGTGATGTTGCGCAAAATTGTCTGAATAAAGTAATAATAAATAAATAATAAAAAATATATATCCCATATCCCAATTTTCAAAGCCAAAATGAAAAAGAAAGAAATCAATCTATATCTTGTCCCATTAATCAAGCATAAGCGCAAAGGGCTCAGTCCAACGCATTGATTCTAATTTGATATAAGGCTGGTGAATCACTACCATTGAGGCACCTAGCCTATATATGAGGTCACAAGGCCTACCATTGGGTCAATTCCAAAATTTGAGTCGTAAGTCCCATATGTAGGCATGATGAAGTGTAGAATGTAAATTCCAACCTTTTGGGTAATTCTCAAATAAAGCAATAAATCCCATAATTTAAATCAAGTTAGCTCATTGCGGCCAACACAAGTCAAGAACCTAAATGATATATAATGGGCCTTCTTATTAAAGTAATCCCCATACCAATTAATTTGAGTTGTTATAATAACTGTCATGGTTGAGGCGAGGCTTACGCCTCGAGGCGGATCGAGGTGTAAGCCTCAAAATAGAAAAATAAAAAATACATGTACTTACAAATAATTGATAAAAAAGACAAAAATAAAATAAAACAACACACTTTTATTTGATTCGTCATTATAAAGATATAAACTACAAATCCCAATATTAAATTTTATTATAAAATAAAAATTTCAAATGAGATTCAAAATAAATACACATTTAAAACTTAAATACATCATAAAGTTTAGAATTCACATCGGCTTCATTCTTACTTTCATATTCTTCATAATAACCCTCGTATGTAATAATTATATCATCATTGAATTCTAGCTCATTGTCATCTTCTAAACATTCTTCAACTATAACTTTTTTAAACTCCCCATATTTATTAACATTGGATTCAATGTAATATAAAACTAAGAACATATTAATAACACAACAAAATAATCAATTATATTTAAATCAACACTTGATATTTTTCTAAAAGTTTGAACTCCACTTTACTACTTTTTTAAATTGTTTGTGAAGTAGAAGTTATTATCAATTCAGTAATCATTTTAATATGACATTGATATTTTATTTCTTCTCATCATCAAACGCATTCCTTCATTTTCAATTTTAAATCTTTTACTATTTTTTGTTATTATACATTCATCATTAAAAAAATATATCATTAACAATCAAAAGATTTATTTCATCATCACCAGTTGTTCGCCTCAATAATTTAAAGTGTTTATCTTTCAATTTTTTATTAAACATAATACAACCACTCAATCTTGTTCATTCGCCCAAAGCTAATTGGTTCCTTCCCTTTGTATAATAGAATAAAGTATATATATATATATATATATTTATAAAATTGACTATAATGAGGCGTTGCCTTGAAACGCCTCAAGGTTGCGCCTTATTTAAAAAAGGTGTAAACTTAACTGGCACTAGTGAGGCTTAAGCCTTGAGGCGTGCTCCTCTAATAAGTTTTTAAACCATGATAATTGCCGCTACAGAAACAAGTCGACGTGATTCAAACCTAGCAAAAAAAGTTTATGCACGCCCTTATATATATTAAGTGTTTATGAAATTTCAAGTTATTAAGTGCTTATGAAAGTCTAGAAGAATCTAGGTTTAAGTTAGGAAAGAGTAGAAAAGTCAAGTAGAGAAAGCCTCTTGGGAGTGCTACGGCACTGTGCGTGGAGACATTGCGGCGTTTCCCTCTCTATATGAGTGTAATGCTCTGGGGAGAGCTGCTATGCTGGTGAGGGCGTTGTGACACTGTGCTCTCTATCTAGAAGCATCTCGAATATTCGATAGAGCGTTGCAGAATGGGAAAAAGGAGGGCTGCTGTTCTACATTAAAAATGAGGATTTCATATATAAAATTTTAAAACAATTTTCTAAATCTCATTCCCCCACCCTAGCTGCTGAAGAAGGAAGTGAAAGGAGAGAAGATAGAAGAAGAAAAAGAAAAAAGCTAGCTTTCAAAGGCAGCAGTGAGGGATTAGCCCATTAGGATTGTTAAGAAAAACGCTATGCTCGAGATAGGCTCCCAATATTCTATTTCTGATTCAATTTCAACGTTTGTATAAGTAAAAATGAAATAAAATGTGATTTTCTAAAGTTTAAAACACTTTCTACCATATAATTTCTAGTATATTGTAGAATACTCTATTCAATACATTTTAAAAGTAAAACAGTAAATTAAAATTTTATCAATTAATTATGATGTATGTGCATTTCTACCATTGACTACAATTTACATAATTTTTCAAAATGATATTTTAAACATCCGCTATAAATAATTTTCAAAATGGCAAAGGTTGAGTATGTATGAAAATTTCACAAATGTTATCTCTTAGAATATTGTATATATGACAGATCATGTATGTTCATGTTTATGTTAAATATTGCAAATATATATTAAACATGTAAGCTCTGCATGTGCGTGTCACTTCATATGACAAAAGTTATGAGGAAGATGTTCAAGTGCACTGCAAGAAATGTTACAAAAACCCTCTCTATTTTTGTTATGTTTATGTTTTTGTTCCTCCATCTTCCTTGTGCAGATGTGAGATGAACAAGAGAGTTATAAATTGAAGTGAACTTATAAGGGGAATAAGGCATGAGACTACTCTATTTGCCTTGTGCATGTGAGCTGACCAAAGGAGGCATAAGTGGAAGTGGAGTTATAAATAGACACCAATAAGCATATCATAATGCACAATTTGTATTGCAAGTTTATCAAGTAATATATGTTTATACACATGCGTAAGTTAAAGTTTTAACTAATGTTTTTGATGTTAACAAACAAGTTCAAGTGATGCTCAAGTTATGCTCAAATTTACATTTCTGATACATGTTTAAGTTCAAGTAATATATATGTCACATTTTTTTATAAAGTTAAATGTTTAAGTACCAGTAAATCCAATATTATTGTTTTATAATTATTAAAACTATTCTCTATTACCTTTAAAATGTTATCTGAGTAATATATAAAATATTTTATTTATATAACTGTCAAATTGGATTTTGATTTTATTGATAGGATTTGAGATAGCCTAATAAACAAGTACTTTCTCAATCTAAAATTTCAATGTTATTTCAGGAAAAGGAAAAAGTCCAACTAAATAATTGATAAGGTTGGAGTCCATTAGGAGCTAGTTCAGAAAAAGTATTTATTTAATAGTCCAGTATTCATTTATATATTTTGATGATTTACTAGTATTCTGGACTGTTATAACTAATTTTTTTGAGAAGAAATATGAATTTTGATTTTATATCTTTTATTTTATTATAACTTTAGAGGTTTAACAGCACTAGTATATTAAGTATTGAGGATGACATAATTAGGATTATATTTTAATTCTTTCATTACACCACGGAGAATGACAAAAAGATATCAAAGCAAATGATTTGTAAGAATTAAATTGTAATCAAAGCCATACGAAGTGATCTATAATTACATGAGTAAAAACCTAAATTTTTTTTTGTGTTTTGTGTTATATATGTGTATATAGTTAAACCATGAGTTTTCGTTTTAAATAAAAGTGTTGTTGAATATGGACGCCTAAGCCTTAGAAGCAGCTGAAGGACAGAATTTTAGTATTGCAACAACTATATAGAGTACTACAGGGTAATGACTTTCGACTTTATGATACTGTCTGCTTGTCTAGTAGTCCAGCTTACTGAAGAGGCATAGAGTTGGATGACTGGAATAAAAAGATCAGAAATTGATAGGCACTTACAATTATTCTTGAGGTTGAAGCCGCCTTGTTTCAGGGCACAGTAGAAACTTGAGTAGTTATTCGCTCAAGAAAAATGATGCAAGAACCCCGCCTTTAGGTTTAGGATTTCATTTTTCATAATTTAGATTAAGTTTTAATTACCTAGATTTCCTCCGATATTTATGTCAGGATATATTTAGATCTAAGGTTTTAACTTTTTTTTTATGAGCGTAAACTCTCATTGTTAATAACCTCTCCCACTTATGGGAGAGCACTCTCGATTAAGGATGTGTTACTGATATGGTTTTAAATTTAAGTTTAGTACTCTTAATTTTTTTCTAATTAATGTGCGATATTTGTGGGGATGAAGATAAACCTGATCAAGATCTCATGATTCCATTATCCCGAGAATACTGATGATCTAAGTCTACCAACGTTAACAAACCATAAGTCGTAACGTCCAAGGAATCTGATTAACAACCATAAATTACTTCCTTTCAAGAATTTCGAGTAGACTAAGTGAT